GGTCAGGCCAAAGAGAAAATAAGTTGGGCACAGGGGTAATGCCCCACTTATTTTCTTGAAATTTTTTTTTTGCCTTTTCAATAATATAAAGATAGCTTTGAAAATATTGTCTTCAAATTGGTTTGTACTTATTCCATTTTATTTAAGTAATTACAAAATAAAAGACAAAAATATAAAGTGTCAAGATTGTATTAAGATTTGCTTAGATGAGTCAATGGTCAAAGTATACATACATCCAATTGTTGTTACAGGTGCATTAATGATACAAATTATGTTGGTAATTAGAACCCAACACCAATACCAATCAAATGAAACATATTACATTTATGCAGAATAAATTCACCAAATTTCAAAGTCTTGATGATAATTTGCTACTTAGGTTTAATATTTTGAATACCAGAAAAAGGAAACATGTCTGTTATATTAAAATTTTCACTTGTTTGTTTAAAGCTAACAATATCTATAGGTTCTGGGTTAAAAACTATAGCTCCTAGAATCAGAAATTGTTCTACTTACCTGAAAATGTTTTTTTAAAGTGGTGCGTATGTCTGTCAGTCTTACTTTTTCAATCTTGAAAAAAATAATTTCTTTAATTCAATATCTGCTCATTTATGGGCCTTTGGTAGACTTATATTTGCAGTTAATCATTTTTCAGTGCCACCCATACCATCACATGGTGACTTACCATGACTTATAGCAAATGACATGTCTATTCTGTATCAATGTCAAAATCATCTTTATGAAAACAGATATTGTCAAGATTTTTGTGGTTTTTATACAATGCAGAACAACCATTTAAAAAAATAAAGAATCTTTGAAATATTAGGATGATTTTCTTTAAAGTAGTAAAATATTTGTGTCTGAACTAGGGTTGTTAACCGGAGGATTTCGTGCAATTCCGGAAAAACAACATTCTTTCGTAAGGAGATTGAGAACACGGAATTACATTTTTTCATACCGAATGTTACAAAACATTTAAAATCGCCGATGTTCATTTCGCAAAAGCCACTTCCGAAATTTAGCATTTCTCAAGTTGACATACGAAACAAAACTATTTTGCAACATACGAAAGTAGCGGTTTCGGAAGTCGCACTTGCGAAACAAATATTTTCGCCAAACGACGTTTTGAAGTCTATAAAGAAAATTTGTTTGCCAGACTGATTTTAATTGTAAAAATTAACATCTTTAAATCTTAAAATGTTTATAATGAATTTTTATTTTCAGTAACATAACTTATTAAATTTTTACGGTTTATTTTTAGAAATATTGATAAAAAAATAAAATTTCTTTCGAAACGAAAGTATTTCGGATCACAACATACGAAAGAATTCTTAACGGAAATAAACTTACGAAACGTGCCATAATAAATATATACAACGATGTTTTTTAAACTCATTACGTATATTAAAAATAAGAATGATGGGTAGGAATATACATGTTTTTTTTTTTAAAGCATATGAAATTTTTGAAACAGGTTCGAATATGCTTAAGCAAATAGTAAAAAGAGGCTCAAAAATATGCTTTAGCTTAAGCATATTTCTGATAAAATATACCTATTTCAATAATTTCTAAAAGTGTGCACGTTACTAAAATTCTAGCAGATTTTAAAGGTATGTAAAGTCCTGTTTGAATACGCTTTTCGAAGTATAGATCATAGAAAATATTGTTTTTTAATTTTAATAAGATATAAATTTGAGTTTAAGATTGTATAGTTCAATCAGTTAGATACGTGATAATTCGCAGCAGAGATCCGGGTTCGCATCCCGCAGTCATTGTAACTTTTGTTCATCAAACTCTTTTTACTTAAGATAGCATTTTTTGACCTCCATGTTCTATATTACAGATCTTTCGTCGCCTTCACAATAGTGACAACCTCTCTTCTGTTAGTTATTCTTTTAAAATTGAGTTCATTGTGCTTAATTCAACACGTTTCCCTTGCTTTACTAAGTTCTACTTAAATTATGATGAAATGTACGTAAAACAATTTTTTCAAATAATATAATTCATTTTAATATAACCATTTCTGAATATAATTTCCCTGAGGCTCCTACAGCCTATTGTGTTCCATTAAAAGTAACTAGTTTTTGAGTCCAGATATTAATTATAAGCATCTAAAGGTTCACATTACTATTCATTTTCCTGATATATAGAATCCTATTTGCATACGTATCTCTTTCTGTAAATTCTGTTTTATATAGTTTCAAATTATATATATTAAATGAATATTACTATTCTCTTAGTTGAATGAACGTATAGCTCATTCAGTTAAGACATTTGGCCGCGTAGACCCAGGTTCACATCCCGCTGTTTCACATATATTTCTTCTCTTTTTACTCTTTCTGATATCATTTACCTTTAGAGAGATCTCTCGTTCTTTATAATAAAGTATTTAATTGTTTATCACACATCCTCTTTATACTTTTTAAAAAGAAAGGCAAACTGTTTATCTATTCATTGAAAGTCCAACTTAACGGGATTTTACTGTATATATAAGTATATATATATATATATATATATATATATATATATATATATATATATATATATATATATATATATATATATATATATATATATGAATATATATATAAATATAAATATATATATATATATATACATATATATACAGTAAAATCCCGTTAATGTGTATATATATATATATATATATATATATATATATATATATATATATATATATATATATATATATATATTGTCAAATGATTCTTCAAATGTTTATACAAATATACCTAAGATATATATGTATATATATATATATATATATATATATATATATATATATATATATATATATATATATATATATATATATATATATATATTAGGTATATATATGTTAATACAAATATACCTAATATATATATATATATATATATATATATATATATATATATATATATATATATATATATATATATTAGGTATATTTGTATAAACATTTAAAGAATCATTTGACAACATTTTTTTATAATTTTATTATTTATTATTTAAACTGTTAACACTTAATATCTTAAATATATCGTAACATAAAATCTTTTGCGTCTTTTTCGTAACTACACATTCCGGAATGCTTTTTCCGTAAGGAACTATTTCGTAAGTATTCTTACGAAATGATTTGTTTCGCAAGTTTTCTTTCGCAATGCTTTATTACGGAATTTTATTTATTTATATTTTCGTATAGCGCGTTACGGAATGTGCATTTTCGCATGTGCAACTTCCGTAATAACAATTCTATTACGGTAGATAAAGATGCGAAATTTTCGCAAGTTTTGTTTTTCGGCGAACAACCCTAGTCTGAACTTCATACACAAAACCAATGTCATGCTCATTATCTTTTGACATGAAGCAAATCGATTTTTCTTAAGCTAGTCATTTTGGTTTAATTGAGAGCAAACGGGTTTAATATGTATTGACTTTAGCACCAATGCTGCTAACTTAGGATTTCATCTTGAATCACAAATGTTTAGTTTTCTGCCAAATCACCTAAAACAATACAGCAGTCTATTGCCAAATTTTCTTTTTGTTGCCTTAATAATCTTGCTTGACATTTTGCAATGTAGGAATGAGCTGTTAATTTGTTTACTGCCTCTGATAACATCAATTTGTATTCTTCAATTGTTGTTCTTTGACATATCAATGTTTTCTGTCTGTTTTCTTTTCAATTCAAAAAGTTTTTATTTATATAATTTAAAATTCTGTTGAAATCATTATTTTAAATGGATGACTGTTTTTAATCCATATACTTACAAATCAAAAACCTTATAGACTACCATATCATTGCAAATCAAAGGTCTTATCTACTTTTCTAAAACATTTTAAAAAAGATCATTGAATACAGAATGATCAAAAACTGAATGGAACAAATATAAATAATTTTTTTTTTTCATGAAAACAGTATTTTCAAAGTTGTTTTTACTTTATTAAAAATGAAAAAAAAAATTTTTTTTCACAAAAAATTGCAACATCTTCCCCATTACCCCGGTTCTCTGGTCATCTGTCCTGGAAACAATTTTAATACACTTTCATCAGAACTTCAAAATTGCTGAAATTTTCAGAGTTCCAGTTTATCTGGAAAGTAGTGAAAAATCACAAGATTCACTACAAAAAAGTGGGGCACATGACCCTGCCCCTGGTGTCTTGGGCCCTAAACAATTTTAACATGCACCTCCAACAGCACTACCGAAGTTCCAAAATTTTCAGAGCTTTAGCTAGTCTGAAATTTAGTGAAAATTCAATTGCAATTTTCTGTTACAAAAAAGTTGTAGACACTTGCAGATCAAAAACTTGATATTTTTTGAAAGATCAATGAATAATAATGTTGATATATTTTTTTTTATATTATCAAGGCCACTTGGGTTTCTTGAGCATTAAAAACAGGTATAAAAAGAATTCTCTAAATTTATTTAAATTGATAATTACAGGTACTTAATAATAATTTTTTTACACTTCTGATTGTCACCCCCAAAAATAGCCAGATAAAAATTTTTAAGTAAAAAAAATTAAACATTTTTAAAGTTATGTGACTTAAAACCTCCAAACAAATGTTGTAATAATTAAATTCTGAGGGGACAAGAGAGAGCCTAGCCAATATCTGTTAAAAATAAAATGGTCATATTTCAAGATCTTTTTGGAGCCAGAGAATAAAATTTTAAAGTAATTCTTATTTTACTAAGCATTCTCAACTGTATAAAAATCAGCAAAATTTAAGATGTATGGTGATATGACCTGGCTCATTTAACATGGAATTACCCAACAGATATTTTTCAATAACACTATTTTAAGGCCCAATCATATATTATGGTGTAGCCATAGAGTAAACTTCTTTAAATTATTGTTTGTATTTATTAAATATAAATATAAAATTAAAAAGTTTTCTATTTTTGGTATATTTTATACAGCTGCAAGTTGCTTATTATAAACTTATAAGATTTTTAGAGTTTATTTTAAGAGTTTTTTTCAAGAGTTTTTTTCAAATTTAGGAGAGGTATTAACCCACCTCATCGTGTTAAATCAATATCTATGGCTAGCTTTACAGCATCTGAAATTGAGTTTTTGCAAAAGCATGGCAATGAGGTAGCACTTTTGTTTTTATAAATAAATAAATTGTGTAAGTAAACAAAATATAATACAACAAAAAAAAAAATCATACAAAATACAAAACAGACGGAGTGTGAAATTTCTTACCCATAATAGAGGGTACTCACACTTTTAATGAATTAACCAATATTATTGTTCTCAATATTGTATAATTAAGCCAAACATGATAGATGTTCAAATGTCTTGAATTTAGTTCAAATTTTTTTAATGTAAAAAATGGAAATAATTTATAGTTTATAGTTTACTATTATAGTTTATTTTATAGTTTTTTATACTTTTAATTTTTTAGCTATATAACTCCAAAACAATAATGACAAACAAGACTTGTTCTAAAATGATTGTTCACTTTCATTGATTAGGTTCTAACCAGTGGTTTCTTACATTAAAAAAAAAACATTTAAAATAATTTTCCAATTAAAATACCATATTAAAAATATTTAAATGTTACCATTTTTAATATTGCATAAACATTAGGTTAACATATCAATATTTTATAAGGTTCATATCACGTTAGTGTCACACATATGTAAAAGTACATAGGATTTAAAAAAAAATTGTTGTATGGTTGCTTAATCTATCAAATGTATGGTTGCTTAATCTATCAAATGTATGGTTGCTTAATCTATCAGAATCTTGCTGGAAAAAAGCATAACTAGCTTACAGAGAAGAAAAAAAATTTTGATTAAAAATGCCAATATACTGCAGGCCTTGTTTTAAAGCGTTAAGCATAGAGCGATTTACATACACCTTAAGCGATTTTTACGTAAACAAGTAAGCGATTTTGGTTAAACAACTTTTTATCATTTTTTAACTTGTAAATAACTATAAACGGTAAGATAAAAGAAGTAATTTTAAAAAAAGTCACATTAATTTTTAAATGACATTATTTAAAATATTTGTTACAAAAGTTTGAATGTTTGATATAAGCGCAATTTAAATAATAAATTTAAATATATTTTATTTTTATTTTCATTTGTGTTTTTAAAAAAACTCTAATAAAATTAGAAGTTTGTTTTTATTTTGTTTTTATTTTATTGTAATGATTGATTTTTTACGCTTTAAGCAAAGATAATAAAAGCATTTAATTCTAATAAAAAATATATATTATTTAATTTAAAACTAATTTAATAAAAATATATAATTTTATTCTGATAAAAAAATATATAATTTAATTTAGATTTAAAAAATAATTTAATTTTGATTTAAAAAATAATTTAATTTTGATTTAAAAAATATATTTAAGTTTGTTAAAATTAAAATTAAAAAAATGCTTGGGTTTAACTTAGTGGTAAAATATATTTAAATATATTACTAAATATTGTTCCATTTTTAAATTTTATTTTTTCTTAAACAAAAAATTCAGCTTATTTTTATTGAAATTGCTTTTTTTCAGTTTTCCTTCCTAAACATTTTTTTTTTACTCAAAATTAAATTTTAAATAAATGGCTGCATCAAAAGTTTGCACAAAAGTTTAACTTTTTTTTTTTTATAACACAGGTTAAATTGCAGCTATTATTTTTTAATAAACGATATATTCAGCAATGTAATTTTTATAATAAACTTTGAATAAATAAAGTAAATAAATTAACGTAATTTTTTTTATTTGTTACTCCCTGATTTTTTTTAAATAAAAAATCATTTGTAGTTACAGAGTCGCAATTAGAAATTTAAGAAAAAATCATTTTAAAAACTCAAAAATTTAACATTTTAATTTATTTATGCAAATGTCTAGAAAAGAAAGAAGTTTGTTAGTACCAAACATTTTTAAAAATGCAATATTAAGTTTAATTATTTGATATTTAAAAAATAATAAAAACAAATAAACATTCCTTTATAGTTATAAAATAGCTGTTAAATAATATTTAACTCGTTTTGCAGTAATTAATATTATTGCAGTAATTTAAAAAAGTTAATGTCTTTAAAAAATAAAAATAAAGAGAATTTTATTATGTCAAATATTGCGTTAAGCTAATGCATTAAACTTTTTTTATTTAAAACAAGGCCTGCACATGTTATTACATGAGATTTTTAATTATAAAGAGATCCCTAAGTGTGGAGACGAATTGTGTTTACTTCATAAATAAAATAAGTTTTAATTAAATGTACCAAACTAATGATCAAAAGCATTTCAGCTGTTTTGTTTCTTTAATTTTCCTTTTGGAAAAAGAAAATACGATATTAAAAATGGATTTTTGTTATTATTTTGATAAATAGTTTCTTTTGGTTTAGCCAACTCTTAAAACTTGTTTCTGAATTTTATTTGAGAAATTTATTCTTTAAATTTATTAACACTAGTCTAAACTTTTAGGTATAATTTAATGTAATGTTTTCTCTAGCTTCAAATGTAATGTATTCTCTACATCTCTAATTTCTTATTGTTGATGGTTTATATATTGTTTCTATAGGTGTGTCGTAGCATATGGTTAGCATTATGGAATTCAGCCTCACCTCCTGAACCAGAATCGCGCGATGAGCAAAAATTAAAAGATCTTATTAGTCGCAAGTATGAGAGAAAGATGTGGTACAGCAGTCAACCTGTGGTTCGTGAGCCTGAAACTCAAGAGCCAGAAGTTAAACCTTTAAAAGCCCTTTTAGGTGAAAGTGCTCCTCAGGTGGTAATGTCTTCCCAGAAAGAGCAAAAATCTGTAAGTAGTTAAATACTTTTTCAAAAACTGAAACATGTAGATGTTGTTACTATATGTTGTGTGTTATACAGTATATATATTATAGAGCACAATAATACAGTTACCATAGATTTCAAGTTGTTCATTTTATTTTGTATTTTTATGTTTTACATTTACTAAAAGTTATTTAAAAATGTTTATTTGATTCAGATTTTTTTTAATAATGTAAAATTATTCACAAGGTTTTTCATTTTAAATTAAATTACAATAAGCATAAAGACTACTTTTTCTTACACATTTTACACATATATACAAATCACCACAAACTTTTTCCTACACATTTTACACATATATACAAATCACCACAAACTTTTTCCTACACAAACTGTTTATAAACATGTTTTAGATCACTAACAAATCATATTTAAATTTAAAAAAGATCACTGTAATTAATTAAAAATATTATCATGTACATTATCAATCAAGTTTCTTAGTATTTTATTTCTTTTAAAAGTATCAAAATTTAGTGTAGAAAAAATGTAAAAAAATCTACAAATCCATTTCTGTTCTTTGACTTATGCATGATAATATGCATGCAGTAGTGGTGCTGTGCTAAAGTGCTCAGTTGTAAGTAAGAAGTATCAAGTTCAACTCCACTACATCCCTGGTAATTTCACCCTAAACTTGTTTTATTGTACATTTTGTTTGTTGAGGTTTTCATTTTCAGAACAATGTTGAAATTTATATAACTGTGTTAGGTATATCACGACACAATAAAGTTAGCAAATTCTAAAGTTATCTGAGGAATATAAATATTATCTTAATAAATATTTTATAATTTTTTTACATTATGCTCAGTGATTTTTACTTAATGCAATAACAACTAGTTTATACTCTTTAAATATAAATACAATACTTTCTTTTATATATGATTTTCTGTTTTGTTTTTTTAACAGAGAACTGCCTCAGTCTCAAGTCTAAATAAACCTGCTCAAGTTTCAACTTTGAAAAGTTCAGATTTGTTAGGTGATTTAGGTAGTGATCCATTTGGTGCATCTACTGTAACCTCTACCAATTCTAGTAAGACAATTTTTTTCTTTCATTTTCTGTGAAATAAAATATAGTTGTTTCATCAAGGTTTCAATAACGTTCATTAAGTCTAATGTTGTTAGTGTTTAATAAATTAGATATAACTTTGTATTACTTTTGTTTTATATTTTGGCTTTTTTCAACTTTATTGTTAAACTTAAGGTAAATAATAAAATGAATGAATAGTTGTGAAAAGCAGCCTTTAATGTTTTTTTTAGTTTAATGTTTCCATTTTATGAAAATCTTATAAAATGATATTACAAAAAGCAGTAAAAGTAACATAATTATTTGCCAAACTTGTGTTCATCACACAAAAGAATTCATTTTCACCAATCAAAACTATGAAAAAAAACCTGAAAACTATACTAAATATTTTTTTATGGTTAAACTTTTGTGTGTTGATTTTCTGTTTGTATTTAATGCTGTTTTCTAAAAATATAATCATTGGCTAATATTTGAATTTTTAGGCACATTATGACTACTGATTTGATTAGTTAACAGTCCAAGATTGCTTTAATCCAAAATTAGCTTAAGAAGCTATAATCCAAATTAGCAAAAACAGAATGATACATTGTATTCTTAAATGCATCAGAAATAATAAAGAAGTCTTCAACATTATCTTCATTTATTATTTTGGACCTGTTTATTAAAATAACATTAATTTTGGACCTGTTTCACCTCAGCATAATGCTTTAATGCATATAGATTTTAAAGCATTATGACAACACAAGTATTCTTAGTTGCAGCACAAATATTTTTGCCATATGTACATTCTTCCTTACATTTATAGAATGCTTTAAATTTTGTTGTTTCTTAGATTTCATTTCTTTTTTACCTTTTTCCTATTTCTTTATTAACTTTTTCTCCTATAAACCTTTACTTATATTTTTTTCCCCTCCATTGAGCTGTAAACCAGGTTAACTCTAACATTTTTCTTGTTCACTATAGGTTTTACTTTGGTTACAGGCAATAAATTAGGTATTTTTTCAAGTCATATTTACCAGATATTGTTTCAAAAGCTTCCATGGCACTTTCATATTTATGTTTCCAATAGCTTGCTGAGCCATAACAAACATCTTTTGGGGATGAAATTCTTAGTGCTGTTGTTGATTAATTGTTTTTAGTATTTTTATTAAAGCACAGTTTGACTTGCAAGAACTTATCTTCCAGCATCCACTCAACACAAAGTCCACCACTTGAAATCCCAACTTTTTTACCTGCATCTATAATTGTTTGTTTTGATGCTTACTCTTGCCATAACTAATGCTTACTCTTGCCATAACTCGCAAGTATATGCATAAAACAAAGATTGTCATAAACAAAGAATAAAGTGCAGATTTAGCACTTCTGTACTCATAGTGCAGTTTCTGATTGATTTGATCAATGTACTGGGTAATGCTAGTTATGTCAGGTGGAGTGATGAAAACTTGAATGTTTTTGCTTCTTAGAAATTTCAATACATCACAGTCAATTCTTTAAGAATGGCTATCAGATAGGACAACAACAGGCCGTTTTATATTGTTTTTTGATGTAATTGCGTAATTCCGGTTCACGGTTATGTAGAATAAAGAAATGTGCAAGCCAGTTTCCAAGAGGTTCGGACATTTTTATATTGAGTGACACGAAGCAAGAACTTTACTTGTAGTGTTGTGTTATAAATAAATTACATATTGAGTTATTACAAAGAGTTGTTATTATATTCAGTGGTGTTATTGTTGCTATTAGGTTATAACAATTGGCGACAAAGATAAAAATTATGCATTTACCGAATATATCTTGTTTGGATTTAGAAAATGACGATTTTGTAGAATATATTGAAAGACAATTTTTTACTGGCCAACGACATAGAAGATGCTGAAAAACAAAAAGCTGTATTTTTATCGACCATAGAAGGACCTGCTTATAAACTTATCCGAAGTTTATGTGAAAATGAAGTTTATGTGAAAATGACACCAAGAAGAAGAGTTTTACTCAAATAGTTAAACTAATGAAGGACCATTTGAAACCAATACCAAACTCCATTGCACAGCGTTTTCAGTTTTATAAAAGAGATAGAAAGGATGAAGAATCTGTAAGCGGGTATATTACTGAATTACGTAGACTATCTGAACACTGTGAGTTTGGTGAAAACTTGAATGATTATTTAACAAAAATTATTAACCATAAAAAATCTAACATTGGAGACAAAACTTGACACAGCGAGAGCATATGAGACAGCATATAAAGATACCAAAGCTATACGTACAAAAGAAAGCTTTATAGAGCAGGATGAATTGCATAAAGTAGAAATTCGGACAAAATCAGAAGAAAGTAAAGAATGTTTTCGTTGTGGGTATAGGGGTCATCAAGCAAACAATTGTAATTATCATTATTTAAAATGTCATACATGTGGAAAGATAGAGCACATAAAGAGAAAGTGCAGATCAGAAAAAAAAGAGTTATGGTTAACGTAAAAATCAATGGAAGTGAGGTTTCTATGGAAGTGGATACAGGGGCAGCTGTCTCTGTAATGGGGATCTCAGCTTACGAAAGAGTAAAGAAGAATGAAGGAAAATTACTAAACACTGGTGTTGTTTTGAAAACATACACAGGAGAGCTGATTAGACCAGAAGGAATAGGGTTGGTTGAAGTAGTGTATAATGGACAATATTGTAAGTTACCTATAACTGTAGTAAAAGAAAATGTGCCCACATTAACGGGTAGAGACTGGATGCAGCGTTTAAATCTGCAATGGTTAGAACTGTTTAATAGAATGGGAGGAGTTAATTTTTGTGATAAGGTTGATTCAAGAGTGAAGACATTAGTAGAAAAATACCCAGAAGTATTTAGTGACCGTTTAGGGTGTTTGAGGAACTTCCAATGTAACATACCACTACGTGAGTGTACAGAACCTAAGTTTTATAAAGCAAGACCAGTACCCTATGCTTTAAGGACTAGAATTGAACAAGAACTTGATCGCTTAGAAGACCAAGGAGTTTGGAAAAAAGTCCAGTATTCTAAATGGGCAGCCCCTATAGTGCCTGTTTTAAAGAGTTCTAAGGATCCTACTGGTCCATTAAGAATATGTGGAGATTATAAGATTACAGTAAATCAAGCAGCCCCAGTTGACAGTTATCCAATACCAAATACCACTGATCAGTTAGCCACTAATGCAGGAGGAGAGAGATACTCCAAGCTTGATTTGTCTCAAGCTTATCAACAATTGGAATTAGATAAAACTCCGCGAGAGTTTTTAACTATAAATACTCACCAAGGGTTGTATCAGCTGACTCGTCTTTAATTTGGTGTACATAGTGCGACTAGCATCTTTCAAAGGGAGATGGACAGGAGGCTGGGCAGACTGTCATTTGTAAAAGTGCGAGTAGATGACATACTTATATCTGGGAAAACTGATGCAGAGCATCTGAACAACTTAGAATATGTTTTTAAAATTTTGAAAGAATCAGGACTGACGCTAAAAGTATCTAAGTGCTCATTCATGCAACCTGAGGTGGAATTTTGTGGATTTATAATTAGTCAGAAAGGCTGTAAACCAACAGCACGGAATGTGGTAGCAGTAATGAATGCTCCTTGACCCACGAATATCAAGGAGTTGAGGGGATTTTTAGGAATTGCCAACTATTACAATGCCTACATACCCAGAATGGCTTCCATCACAGAGTCTCTCCATAATTTGTTAAGGAAGAACGTAATTTGGGAATGGAATAGAAACAGTGAACGAGCCTTTGAAAGGGTAAAAACTATATTATGCAATGCACCTTTATTAGCTCACTTTGACCCATCAAATAAAATCGTGGTTTACTGTGATGCCAGTCCATATGGTGTAGGAGCCGTTTTGAGTCAAGAACAGCATAATGGAAGTGAAAAACCTGTCAGTTTTGCTTCAAGAACATTAAATATGGCAGAGCGAAATTATGCACATTGAAAAGGAAGGATTAGTGTTAGTTTTTTGCTATAAAAAAATTTTATCAGTTCTTATTCGGACACAAATTTACATTGTATACAGATCATAAACCCCTATTAGGACTATTTTCAGAAAGCAAAGAACTTCCTACAAGAGCTGCTGCTAGAGTGTTACGCTGGGCTTTGCTATTGTCAGCTTATGATTACCAATTACTATACTGTCCTGGCGAAAAGAACGCAACTGCAGATGGTCTGAGCCGTTTACCTTTAGATGTATCAAAGGAAAAGTCAAGGTTAAAAACCAGCTATGATGGAACTAGTGAAAACCCCAATTACAGAAAAACAGTTAAAAGGAGCTACCCAAAACGATCCAATATTAGGAGTGGTACTGAATAGAGTGTTAGAGGGAGGGTTGACGATGGAACCAAGTAAGGTGGAGATGAAACCATTTGCATTAAGGTTTTCTGAGTTATTAATGGAAGGAGGTTGTTTACTGTGGGGAAGAAGAGTGATAGTGCTAAAAGTGTTAAGAGAAATGGTACTTGAGGAATTACTTGAGGTGCATCCCGGAATAAGTAGAATGAAGGCTTTAGCAAGAAGTTATGTTTGGTGGCCTGGAATTGACACAGAAATAGAGGATAAGGTAAAGAATTGTGAGACATGTCAAAGAAGTCAGAAGAATCCATTAACCTGGTCTCATCCTTGGGAATATCCAAGTAGACCATGGGAGCGACTACATATCAATCATGCAGGCTCAATGAATGGGAAAATATATTTGGTAGTAGTTAACAGTTTTTCAAAATGGATTGAGGTGGAAGTAGCGCGCAGTACTGAAGCCAAAGCAACAATAAAGGTAATCAGAAGATTATTTTCTACCCTTGGTATACTGCGAGTTATCGTTAGTGACAATGGATCTGGATTTTTGAGTGAAGAATATTAAGAGTTTTTATATTCAAATAGAATTAAACCAGTGTATTCTGCACTGTATCATCCTGCAGATGGTCATATTGTAATGGTCAAGCAGAACGAATGGTTCAAACATTTAAGAATTTAATTAAAAACTTTCAAGGAAATGATATCGAGACACA